TATTAATAATTTTCTATCCCTTTTAGGTTGACGTGGCACTATCAACCACTTAACTTGAAAAAATTATCAACACGCGTTGACCCAGGAGATAATATCACTTAGGTGGAAAAGGGAAAGAAAATTATTTATGAAATAAATTAAAGGAAGATGGTAATAAGAACTTAATATATTATAAGTGTGTATCAAAACTTTCGAGTATAAATTGGGAGTACTTATGCATTTTTCCATTCCTTAGTGTTGTCAATTTGGTCCAACTTTGAAAAGTTAAAAGTATTTTTTTTTTCAAAAACAATATTGTACTTATTTTTAACGAATCAAAGTGTTTGATTATATATGTTTTTAGAAAACAATCAAGTGATTTGAGTAACTTCAAAAGTTGCTTTTCGAATCAGTTCAGTCAGAATGAGTCCCCGAGGACCCGGGATACTGACTTCCGTCAACAGTGAACAATTAAGGATCGCATCCTGCGCAACTTGACCGCATCTTTCCCTGGAGGAGGAGTAGCATTGTTTTCTTTATGGGCAAATGACTCATTGAAGTAGGAGCTGGGGTTGCGGGTAAGAGAACTATGCCGCGAGCAAAAATATTAATGATGAGGAAGGCTGGAGATTGGATTGATGATAAAATAGAATCATGGGTCACGAACAGTAATTCGATTGAGGATGAAGAAAGAGAATTCAGTTTTATATATATATATTATACTTTTCAAAATATATATGATTTTTATCGAATTTTTTTGGTCATTTTTTAAAATAAAATTGAAATTTCGTCTTGCCATCGTAAATAACTATACTTACTTGTAGAGTGTAGAATATTGATCAAGTAAAATTTTCTATTATAATATATAAGATAAATTCAGACTAAACATGTGGACGAATCAAGAAGTGATACATGACAAGAAAAATACGTTAAAAATGACTAAGTAGAGATAATATTAATGGGTCGTTTGGTAGGGAGTATTAGGGAAAATAGTTCAAGTATTAAGTGTGGTATTATTTAATTCTATGTTTTGTAGGAATTTTGGATCAATCCATGGATTAGTTATACACCCTACATGGTATTAGAGGGTGTATAACTAATACCTTCCATTTGGTGGTATTAATTTAATACAATGGGACTAATCTAGATAAAGACAAAAATACCCCTCAAATTCTTTTAATCATTTTGTTTATTTTCTTGATTTTATATTTTATATTTATACTAATAAATTTGTTTAAATAAATTAATTTGCAAATTTTATTATTTAGATATAACTTTTTGTTTCTAAAACACGAGTTATTTAATCTACTTAGTATTAATATAAAATATGATAATGCGACTAATATGCTAATGTTGATGTATGAATTTAAGAACAATTCATAAGTCAAATATTGTCTCTTAACGGAAGTTCCTTAAACATTACACAAGTAGTCTAAGACAAGAGCATATACATATAAATAAAACATCTCGATCATAAAAATAGTTTAATTAATTTTGCTATATCTATTGTTTATTTTATTATATGATAAAGTGTTTTTTAAAAGATTTATTATACAAAACAAAGTTCAATAAATTTTCCGTATATATTATTATAGTTGTGTGACATTTTGAGATATTAACTCCAATTTATAGATGACAATTATTTACTCTCAAATAATTTAAATGAGAACGTAGTGAATATGATAATAAAGTTTTATTCTCCTATCTAGTTAAAAATGCTATGAAAAAATAATATTATCCGCCAATTATCTACCTTGATCCAATTACATGAAATACAAAAATCCCATAACAATTCAATGGTATAATTGGAAAAAAAAATTTGTAGAACTTTAAACCACACAGAAAACTAGTTAAAAAATAATGAACCAAACACTTGATAATAATGATTCCTGCATTACCAATTCCTGCATTATTGATCTTTGTACCAAACGACCCCTAAATGTTATCATAAACATGACCAAAGAATCATATCAATTAAAATTCTAAAATTAACACGCATAGTTAAAATCAGTATTGTACGAATGACGTCCGCCTAACCAACTTTGAAAGTAGAAGATCAAGCACTCACTAGTGTCCAATCAAGATGATCAAAAACCTAGTCCTGTGAAAGAGCTTGAGATCTCTCATGCTTATGCTTTGAACTTCTCGTGTTTCATCTTTTGTTGTCCAAAATTACTTTAATAGGTATATGTGAACACTCTGTCTTCGATTCAATATTTCCAAAAATCAATTATAATAATCCTTAACTAAAAGTACACACTAAATACTGAATCTTCAAAAAATTCAATTCAATATAATAATCATTAGTCAACATGATAAATTTCGATTCAATCCAATAATTTGAATTTTGATAATTTATACCATCCCTCCCATACTCATATATATTAAAATGAAAAATGTTCAAAAATATCCTTAAACTATCAGAATTAGCTCAAATATATTTTTGAAGTATATTTCGGCTCAAATATATCTTTACCGTCAAACTATTGGATAAAAAATATCCCTCTCATTAACAGAATCGGTTAAACGTCACTTAGATGCCATGTGGATGTCACATGGCATGCCACATGAGCCAATAGAGTTTCACTCATGCCACGTAGACTAATAAACTTATCCTTAATCTCCCCCCATTTTCTTCGATTTCCGTAGAATTTAGAAACGATTTCACTGAAAAACATAGAAATCTTTTTCCTCATTTCTCCATTTCCTTAGAACGATTTTACAAAATACATAAGTGTATTTTTGACCCTATATTTTGAAGAAAAAGGTATTTTTGAGGCGAAATAAAATTTAAAAATATATTTATATTATTTCGAATAATTCAAAAATATTTTTGACCCTTTTCTATATATTAATATAAATAGTGTAGAAACACATTTATTAGTCATTGCTTCCCGAATAGTCAATCCCTTTAATTACGTTATCTTAGAAAAAATCCTTGAATTTCTTTGCCTCCATACTAATTATTTTAATTTCCTAGAAAAAGTTGGACTGGTCAAGACTTTATAATAAATTTTTTTATTTAAATAAAGAAAAAGGACTAAAATAATGACCTTAAGAAACAAGAAACTACTTGGAGACCTAACTCATTAATTGGACCATTGACCATAAAATAAATCCAAGTCAACATTTTGATTTGTACATAAAAATAATCATTAATGAATTTTCTTAATTTGACGAAAAAAAAATATTTTTCTATTTGTTGTCCTCTTTGACACGATTATTATGTGATTTCTTATTAAGTACACCTTTTTCCTTAATTGCCTATTTTTCTTTTTTATAATTATCTTAATTATTTATTTATTTTGGTAAATTAAAAAAATTATTATTTTTCTACCTATTATATTCTCAATTTTTAAAAAATAAAACTTTCCAAAAACTTAAGTTTTAAATTCATTCACTTCATAATTAATAGGTGTAAAATAATAAATTTACTATATCAATTATTATTTTTTTAATAGGTGTGTCAATTCAAAAGTGAACAGGTAATTAGTGATACAAGTAGTATCTATATTAGAATTTGATCAATTTAAATTTGTATGGTATACAATCCTATTTGAAAGATAGTGTTTCGTGTTAAATTGTTTTTCATATTGAGCAACTACATCCACAAGTATTTTCAAAAACGTCTTTGGAGCGAGTCCCAGGGCGAGTTTTGGGGCGGAGCATACCTAAAATGCTTGGGGCGTAAATTAAAAACGTAGATCCATAAGGCGTAAGTCCTGAATATAAAAACACTATGCCCAGGCGTTTTTAATGTATTTTTAATTTTTTTCCCTTTAAATCATTTTTTTATTATTATTGTAATGATATTTCTCAAATAATATGATAATCTTTTTTTTTCTTCATTATTGAATATTAACACTATCTCATATAAAAATCACAATTTATTGAAAAGTTTACTTTTGCTTATTTTATTAGTAATAAAACTATAAAATTGAATATACATGCTACTACACCCTGTAGATCCATTAGACTTACGCCCCATGTCTCGAGGTATACGCCTCGCCTCACGCCCCCGCCTTTTAAAAACTGACATCCACTAATCATATTGTCTTTGACCGAATTCTATTTGGTACTTCCATCATTTTATTTTATGTATCTTATTTTAACTAGACACCGAACATAAAAAGAGTATTTATTTTTTGGACTTTATAATAAAAAAATTTAAATATATACTCTGAATTTGTAAAGTTACTATAACTTAAAAACACTTGAAATAAGCAAATCTAAATAATTTCTTATAAATTGGTAAATAAGTTTTATGAATTTTAATTTGTGCAAAATCAATCAAAATATCCTTTTGTTTTATTTCTTATATAAATCAAATAAAAAATCAAAATTAATGGATATTGCAAAAGAAAAATGTGTGAAATAATGGTTGGGTTATAAAGGTGATTAGACGTCATGCAAAAGTTTATAATTACAAATCAAGATGGTAATATATTAGATCACAAAAATTAATATTAAAAATATAATATTATTGTATGAAAACTAAAATTAATATAAAAAAAAAATCTAAAATGCATTTAAAAAAATCTCCCAATAAGTCAAAGTCAGACTACATTTTGAAAAATTGTATTGTGTTATACGAAATTATATTTTCTTTTAAAAATAATTTCAAACATTTATGATAAAATTTTGACTTTTTATAATGGAAAAGAAAATACTTCAAATAAGGAAAAGAAATCAAGGCAAAACTCCATTTCATATATATCATATTATAAAAAGAAAATAATACTCTCTGATTTTTTTTGGATTATAAAATTCAAATAAAATTATCGTAAATATTTTATAAATCTTTTAAATAATTTTGAGTTGTCAATTATTATGACTCATAAATATATCTACTAATTCACAAATATATAAATTTCATTTAAAAAATTAAAAATTTATATCCAAATTTTCAATCAAATCTATACCATTTTATTTTTTCAAAAAATAAAAAATAAAAAATATCACATAATTTAGGTAATTGACATAAACCACAAAACCATGATAAATACATACAACAAAAAAGTTGTTCATGTTGATTTTGACCAATTTTTGGACACGCTTCTCTTCTTCCTCTCTAAAATCTCCTTTTTTTTTCCTTCATTCAAACAAAACACTTTGAATCTATGAAGACATCTTTGAAGAAATTGCGAGGATTAGCTACTCTTAGACATGAAAGGAAAGAACGAAGGCTTCGCCAACCTTCCGATGAGCTTGCTATGGCTGCTCAGGTTTTTTGTTGAATTTGTTCTTTGATTTTTTTAAATTTTTTTGATTGATTTGGTTGTGGGTGTGGAGTGATATGATAAAAGATGCAATTTTTTTATGAAGATGGAAAAAAAGGGATTAATTTAGACAACCCCAATTGGTTTTCTTGGGAAATGGTGTGGGTTTGGAGAGAAATGAATAGATATGGAGGATTTTAGAGGGGTGGGGTGGGAGGGGGTGGGGGAGGATTTTTAGGTTATGGGTTGTAAATCATACAGTTATTCTTTGAGTTTAGTGGGTTCTGAATATTTTAACACACATGAAGGGTTTGAGCCAAAGTTATTGGGTTCTGCTGAATCTGTATCTACTATTCTGGCTGTGATCCTGAGGTCTGTGCAGCTAGTTTGGGAGTGAGTTACAGTTGATTGATTGATTCATTGGTTGGTTGTTATAAAAATGTTAATTGATGATGTGCTTATGTACTTCAGTAATTCATGATTAGGATTCAGATTTATACTATATGGATACGTCTGTTCCAACACAAAGTGCATTCGTTCCGTTTGCCTAGGCCTTAGTGGAGAGGTGACGGTGGATTAGTCGAAGTGGGTTCAGGTTGGTCTAGACATGTCACCATTATTGAAAAGATGTCTGTCATGACTTTGCATCTCCGTAGTATTTTATGTGAACATGGTCTTTGTTAGAGGGTTTATGTTCTCTTCTAGGTAATATAAGACTGCTAATTTAATTAGAAATGTTCTCTTTTGATCGGATTAAACAAAATCAATCTTGAGCACTGGTATAGCGAAAAGTGTTTCCATGTTACTAATCTAGCTTAAAACAAGGTTTTCGTTGTATTAATGTAAGGGGTGTGAATTTGGGTATGTATAGAGACTATACTTGTGGTTAGCCCCCTAGAAACAGTGAATCGAGTTCATCAACATGCTGCAGCATTATTAACTGTTTTAGCTGAGATAAGGAAATGCTGTTTGTTGTAGACAATGCCGGGGATGTTAGTAAAAAATTTCATACTCTTACCACTTGGGGTCTCCTTCAAAATCCCAACTCTGGTTTGTCGGTGATTTGATTCAGGAATCAACAATGAATATAGGTTTTCCTAATTAGCTGTTCTAATCTTCACTTAATTTATATATACAATTATAGATGAGAGTTCCTTATAGGAACTCTTCACTTAATTTTTATATACAATTATAGATGAGAGTTCCTTATAGAAACTCTTCACTTAATTTATCAATAGATGTATAGATGAGAGTTATCAGAAGTATTTTGTCAATTTTTCTGGTTAAAGTTTATTACAGCCTGGTCTTTGACAGTTGCTTTCACCTCTCCTAGGATATGCAAGAAATGAAAGATTGCTACGATAGGTTGCTTTCTGCAGCAGCTGCAACTGCAAATGGTGCTTATGGTAATTTACTGCCATTTACTTCACTGTACCTTCTGAACTGCATGTTTTCTTTTGAAGCTATTTTACAATATGATAGTATCTCTCTTTCATCTTCTAAGAGTAGCTTCAACTTGTAAATACTTTTACTGCTAGATGATTCCTTAAGGGCCACTCGGCACATTGTTTGGAAATTGCATAAATATTTGAGAATAATTCATGGGCTAGAAGCATACTTATATCTACCTACTTTTCACTTACTTAAATGCCCCAGATAATAATGCTTGTGAACTTAAAACACTCTAGCATAGACTATGTTCATTTTGCATCTGTAATAGGTTCGAGCATTAAGCTCCAGTGGGGCACATTGGTGACTTTGTGTTTCTTCTCAGCGCAAGAGTTATTGGTTAACAAGTTTACTTATCAAAACAAAAGAAATGTAGTTATTAGTTAACATAGGCCTTTAATGAATCAAATAGGGAAGCAAATTAGCTTCTAAAATTTGAAAACTTGAATGTTTAACGAGGTACTGCAAGGACATGCATGTCCTGAAAATTTATGAAATGACTTAAGCAGATGGAAGCGTAACTAAGTGCTGTTTTATCCATCAAACCAATCTACTTTCTGGTTTTTCTTGTTTGAACTTTCCAAAAATGGAATAGTTTGCTAATTTTACTTGGAAGCTTGAACTTATATTTTATTCTTTGAAGTGTCAAAAGAAATCCAAATAGTTTTAAGAAGCTCTGTTTCTGTGTACTTCAATCAATTATCACATTTACATTATATTGTGTCCTACAGGTTGACCAATAAACAATGACGTACTGGTTAAACACTGGTTAAACATGATATCCATATTTATTGTACCTTAGTATGCATGCAGATGTATTAATAGCAGGGATTATTCCTCAGCTTTCATCGTTGTTTCTTACTAGTTGAATTTGTACTTCTGGAGAACTTTTTGTGCAAGTTATATTTAATTGAGATAGTCTATTTTCAGAATTTTCTGAATCGTTGCGAGAAATGGGAGATTGTCTTCTTGAGAAAACGGCATTGAATGAGGACGAAGAAAGCGGTCAGTATGAAGCATTACTATGTTTAGTTGATTAATGATTCACCATGTTGAGTTTTTTTTTTCAACAAGTCCGATTTACTAAATATTTAAGTTGTAGGGAGGAGACACTTTTATTTAGTTGTTTTAGGGATACAATCACATGCGTTTTCTAATGCTTTTTCTTGAGCCAAGCATTTTGAAATTTCTCTGTATAATCTGAACCTAGAGTTATTGCCTGCTTCGAGATCATGTTTGAATTGCTTGAATTGCCTCACATAAAGCATGATCTATTGAACTGGGGCTTTTAGGGCTTTTATTTATTTATTAGATCTACAGCATTAATAAATACTTCCTCCGTTTAAAAAAGAATGACCTCATTTCCTTTTAAGTCTCTTTCAAGAATGACCTCTTTCCTTTTTTGGTAACATTTTAATTTCAGCTTTCCAAGTGGCATGTTTAAAGCCACAAGATTGAAGAACAATTTAGTACATTTGACATAATTTTAATTTAGGACCACAAGATTTGAAAGTCTTCTTTATTTTCTAAAACTTTGTGCCAAGTCAAACCAGGTTACTCTTTTTGAAACGGAGGCAGTACTTATCTAACAAAAGCAAAAGGATCCCAGAAGAAAAGATCTATGATGTCCGTCTTGTTGAAGGTTCTCATTGCATGATAGATCTTAAAGTTCCTCAATCGAAAGAAATGGATTATTCTAATAGTGGTTTCCTTTGTTCTTCAATCATAATTTGCACATCTTTGGATTGTTAAAACTCATTATATTTATTTTATATGACATTGCTAAGAGTTCAGCTACAATTTTCCTCATCTTTTTTTATTTTTCAATCTTGATTGTTAAAATTGGACTTGTTTCTATATGAACAGGTAAGGTGTTACTAATGCTAGGTAAACTGCAGTTTCAGCTTCAGAGACTTGTAGATAACTATGTGAGTGCTAACAGTTCAATGTGAATTATTTGCAAGTTCTTGAAAATACCCTGTTTTGATGAGTGTTTATGTTCTCTTTTCAGCGCTCTCATATTATTCAGACTATCTCTGTCCCCTCAGAATCCCTTATCAATGAACTGCGCGTAGTTGAGGTATGGGCCTACACCGACTGATGGTTTTCTTGGGGTAGAATAGGTAGGAGGAAGATGATTGCACTTCGGGAGATGTAATAGTGTAATAGATATAACTTGTATTTTGCTCGTCTTACTTCAAGTATCTCTTCATGGAAATTTTATTTCACTATATTAACACAATCACATTTTTTTTGAGGATAATTAATTAACACAATCAAATTTTGTGTTAAACTTTTGGCACTTATTAAGTCATCTACTTTGATTACGTGCTTACTGTAATATGAAGACCAACTAATCTGATATTTACTAAAATTGACAAGCCTAAATAGTTAGTCATTTTGTCGTTCCATTTCATGGTAGATAGTAACTACTGGGATTAGGCTTCCACTTAGAAACATAGTTTATGTGTTGTTTCTTTGCTTGCATTTTTTTTATGCTTAAGCATTTGACGTTTTCTTTCTTTTTTGTGAAGGAAATGAAGATGCAATGTGACGACAAGAGGTAAAACTAAATTACTTCTAATCATTTGTGTAGCTTTTCTCTATGTGAGTGTCCTCTCACTCTCTCTTCTTTGCCAGAGAAGTGTATGAGAAGATGATGCAAAAACACAGAGATAAAGGCAGGGTTAAAGGAAGTAAAGGAGAACATATTTCTTCTCATCAGCTGCAAGTAGCTTATGAAGACTATGACGAGGGGGCTAATGTTTTTGTATTCCGTATGAAGTCCCTCAGGCAAGGACAATCCCGCAACCTTTTAACTCAGGCATCTAGACACCATGCTGCTCAGGTTTTTTTTTCCGTTGATGTTAATAAAATCCATTGCGTTTCTTAGTGAACCGAAGTGTTTGCTACTACGCTTGCACTATGTTTAGGGTGGTTGATCATGAGATTTGGCTTGTTTTTGAAATCAGTTATCTTTCTTCAAGAAAGCCCTCAAGTCCCTTGAAGAGATTGAGCCACATGTCAAATTGGTGACGGAGCTGCATCATATTGATTACCACTTCCGTGGGCTAGAAGAAGATGATGGAGTTAATGCTGGCAATGACAATGAAAACAGTTCCGAGGATGACTCTGATGTTGGATCTGAATCGCTTGATGATGGTGAACTGAGCTTTGACTATGGACAGAATGACCAGGTTTATACATCAACCCATTCAATGGAGGTAAGCTTTTCTCCTTTTTTTCTTTCTTTCTGGGATTTATATGGAAATTCATGAATACTATCTGCTTAAATATTATCCTCATTTAGTAATTTGCCGTTCATTTGTTACTATAACTATACATTCACCGAGCAATATTTTCACTAATCAAGTGGTTGTTGACAACATGACATTTCTGTAGTTGGATAAGGTGGATGTTGCGGTTTCTGAAGTTGCTTCGAAGGGTGCATCAAAGGTATTATACATCATCTTCACTGACCTCCTTTAGCAGTTGAAAACCTTTCTTTGGAGCCCTACACTGTGTTCGTGAATTTAGTCTCTTTCATCTTTATCATAAAAATGAATTGAGGCTTTTATTTATTTTTTGATAGAAACAAAAATATGAATTCATTTTTTCTTAGTTTGATTTGTTATGGTTTCTCCTTTCATATGAGATTGCTGAAGATTAAAAAATATTTTCTTCTGTTGGATTGTATAGGAAAATCTCAGTAAGATTCATGGTGGGAACAGTTTTTCCTTCTTCAGGGATGTCAACATCACTAAATCAGCACCACTTCTGTCTGGGAGGAAACCAGATCCTGCTGAGGGTGCCGCACGAATGACTTCGTCACTCTCAAACAAGTTTCAACCATATGTTCTACCCACACCAGTGGAGGTGAAGATTCCAGAATCAGTGAAATCGCATAACATAGACCTTCAAACAAAGCGGACTAGCCAGACTAGTGGTGTAGTTCAGAAGTGGCATTCCTCCCCTTTGGATCAGTTCAAATATGAAAAGCTTATGGCAGGTGATAAGTTCCCTGGACCTATCACCGTGAATACACAATCAGTTCCCACAGAGAGCAAAAATAATGCAAGTACTGGTTGGTTGCCCCCTCCACTGTCAGAAGGCCTATCATCTGCACAACGTGATTTGTCCAATGCCAAAAAGGTCAAGAGACAAGCCTTTTCTGGTCCATTGACGGCAAAACCATGGCCAAAAAAGCCAATTGTTTCTTCTGGTAGTCCAATTGCCTCATCTGGATACCCTCTGCATTTTTCTCTGCCTTTCTTGCATACTTCAACGCCTGAACCTTCATCGACCCCTAAATTATCTTCACGTGCTTCTCTCATGTCATCACCTAAAATAAGTGAGCTACACGAACTACCTAGACCACCAGCTAAAATAACCACTACAAGACCCTTACGTCCAGTTACTCGTTCAGGACCTTTGGTCTCAAAAGTTCAGGATTTTTCTCCTACAAACAAAGCAGCAGTATCTTCAGCTGCTTCTACCCTACCTACACCTCCAGCTCTTCCTCGTAGTTACTCTATACCATCTCGGGGTCAGATAGAAACATCACTTCATGTTTCTAAGCCACTGGAAGATATGACTTCATCACCTCCTTTAACGCCTATAGCCTTGGTGAAGGACCGCCATACTTCCCCTGCTTCACAGCCTCCAAGCTAGCTAGTCAAATTGAAGGTGTAACAAAGAGAGCCACCAGGGATTTTTCTGGCTTCTCGAAGGAGCTTAATAATTCTTCTATCAGTGCAATTCAGTTAGGGTGAAAGGCAGCATTTTGCTAGGGTGTATCCTAAATCTACAGGTTAAGCCTTCTGTTGCTTCTGATATATGGTGACAATTTTGTTCTTACCGTTAAGTATGTCTGTTTGCTTCTCTGGCGAGATGCAGGCGTTCATCTTGTTACTATTCATAGCTTGTATGAGACCACAATAAGTGGCTTAGACAGCTGTTTTGAGATCTTTGTAAATATCTTACTAGTAGTAACCTATCAAGATGGAGAATAGGAAATTCTAGAGATAATATTTTTTCATTTGCTTCTTGGTAAGTTGTAACAGATGGATAGTTACAGTTTAATTGAAATATCCTAATAACGTTAGTGGGAGATTTGGAATATTTTAAAGTTCAAACTTTATTTTGGCTCAATGCAACACAAGTGAGCTCTGTTCAAGCATATTAGATTGATTTAATCTTTACTTCAGATAGAGGATGCAGATTATAGTTTAATTGACATATCCTAATAACTTTAGTGGGAGAATTGGAACATTTTAAAGTTCAAACTTTATTTTGGCTCAATGCAGCACAAGTGAGCTCTGTTCAAGCATATTAGATTGATAATCTTTATTTCAGATAGAAAATGCAGATTACAGTTTAATTGACATATCCTAATAACTTTAGTGGGAGAATAGGAACATTTTAAAGTTCAAACTTTATTTTGGCTCAATGCAACACAAGTGAGCTCTGTTCAAACATATTAGATTGATTTAATCTTACTTCAGATAGAGGATGTTGATTACAGTCTAATTGACATAACCTAATAATTTTAGTGGGAGAATTGGAATATTTAAAGTTCAAACTTTATTTTGGCTCAATGCAACGCAAGTGAGCTCTGTTTAAGCATATTATATTGATTTAATCTTTATTTAAGATAGAGGATGCTGATTACAGTTTAGTTGACATATCCTAATAACCTTAGTGGGAGAATTGGAACATTTTAAAGTTCAAACTTCATTTTGGCTCAATGCAACGCAAGTGACATTTGTTCAAGCATATTAGATTGATTTAATATTTACTTCAGATAGAGGATGTTGATTACAGTTTAATTGACATAGCGTAATACTTTAGTGGGAGAATTGGAACATTTTAAAGTTCAAACTTTATTTTGGCTTCAAGTATATTAGATTGATTTAATCTTTACTTCAGATAGAGGATGCAGATTACAATTTAATTGACTTATCCTAATAACTTTAGTGGGAGAATTAGAACATTTTAAAGTTCAAACTTCATTTTGGCTCAATGCAATGCAAGTGACCTTTGTTCAAGCATATTATATTGATTTAATCTTTACTTCAGATAGAGGATGTTGATTACAGTTTAATTGACATAGCCTAATAACTTTAGTGGGAGAATTAGAACATTTTAAAGTTCAAACTTTGTTTTGGTTCAATGCAACACAAGTGAGCTCTGTTCAAGCATATTAGATTGATTTAATCTTTTTACTTCAGATAGAGGATGTTGATTACAGTTTAATTGACATAGCCTAATAACTTTAGTGGGAGAATTGGAACATTTTAAAGTTCAAACTTTGTTTTGGCTCAATGCAACACAAGTGAGCTCTATTCAAGCATATTATATTGATTTAATCTTTACTTCAGATAGAGGACGCTGAGAAAAAAACCATGCAGCAAGGAGATAGTTGTATATTGAGAAAATGGCCAAAAGCCACCTGAATCTACTTTCACTCTTCAACTATATATTTATACTTCAGGGAATCCTATTAATCATCTGAACATTTTAAAAGTATAATATACACATCTTAAAAACTCACGCCCAAATATGTATCAAAAAGTAAGCGGCACGCACTTGTCACGTAATTTACCTTTTTTAAAATTAAAAATTACTCCTCCATTTAAAAAAGAATGTCTCTATTTCCTTTGTAGTTTGTTTAAAAAAAGAATGACCCCTTTCTTTTTTTGACAACACTTTAACTTTAACTTTTCACGTTACATGTTTAAGATCACAAGATTAAAGAGCATTTTGATACATTTGATATAACTTTAATTTAGAACCACATGATTAAAAAGTCTTATCTCTTTTTTTAAACTCCGTTTCAAGTCAAACTAGATCATCCTTTTTAAAACGAAGGGAGTATTATTTTTTCCTTTATTCTACTTTCCTTTTATTTTTTCTCTTTCCTTTCTTGCTTTCTTTTTCTTTATCTTTGAGCAAATGATATCAAACTAGCAAAGTAAGATCAAATTTTGAAATTCTTGTGTGATTTTCTTCATAAACTTTTTGTACATCAACAGAAAATTCATCATGATTCTTGTTTGATAAAATAAGAGAATTTAAAAGGGTTGTTGATTAGTGGTAAAAGATAATGTCGACAAATTGTATGAATACAACATGAACATGTCGATCTTGTCGAGACATTTCAAAATCTGAAAAAGTAAGATGAGGTATGAACAATATAAAAGTGGTGGAATTGTTGTTGGTCAGAATATTGATTCGTGAATCTGAAAGCAGACATTGCTGCTGAATTAGAGATCGATCAGTTGAGGAAAATTTTGAAGAGCTTATACCTTGTTGAGATGAAGAAACAAGAGTTTGGATTTTCAAATATGTATCTGTTATGCATTGATACAACAAACAAAAAGGTTGAATCGATGCATAACTTTGATGGACTATTCATACCTTTTATAATATTGTGTAGTCATTTTTCTGAATTTTATTTTCGAGATGGATAATTGTGTATTTGTTCATACAAGAGTAGAATGTTGTGTATCTGATACATTCTATCATGTATCAACTATATGGTTCAATAGATGTAATATTGTGTTCCATAAAATTGTGTATTTAACACACAATTTGTGCAGTTATGTTTGATAAAAAAAATTGTACAATATAGTGTACATGATTCATTATGTTGTGTCTAATACATGATTTAGTATTTGTATTAATGTACTCCATGTTTATTTTATCACACAAACGGAGGCAAAATCTTCACTTTTTATCTTGAACTAAACAAACTTTTTGATAATAACATTTATGTGTCACCATTTATGAATTTGATACATACTTGTGTGACAATTTAATGTATCATGTTTGATAATAAATATCAGATACATTGTTGCGTGTTAGGATTGCTATTATGTAGTCATGACATGTTGTTATATGTCAATTTCTTAATTATTTTCTTAGTTGTCTATCTATAATAAAAAAAATAGTATCGACGGATACATGATAAATGATACAATTGGTGGAAGTTGTATCAAGTATCAAAACAAATTAAGATTATGCATCAAAATTAATATTTGAACATGACACACTGTGCATGACAAAATTGTAATGCATCGTAGTTTAAAACAGAGACATTATATGTAAATTATGAAATAAAATCAACTAGATATATTAAAAATCTAGTTAATGTGTCCCATACTATAACCGTAAGATATATTAGTCTTACATGACATTCACATATCTCCCATGTGCCTCAATTGCGTGGGTCATGGAGTGTGTCACATAAGCAAAAGGTGCATAAAATTACAAAAAAAAAGAAGTTAGGAGGAGAGGGGGGGGGGGGGGAGAGGTAATAGGACCTTAGTTTAGTTAAGACGTGTCTCTGAAACTCGCTCATAGTTTAGGGGGTACTTGTGTTTTTCCCATTATAATTTATAGTAATATGATCGTATATAAAAATAATGAAAAGAGACTTATAATTAGAATTTGAATATTTGTTTATATGCACAAGAGATTTAGACAGCTCTAATTATAAGAGATTTTCATGTTGTTCTTGAGTTGATGAATTTTCTTTCAAATTGGTGATAGATTAATTAACAATATTAAGCTTGATATCCTCAGTAGTTGACGATTGAAGAAATATTTTTTCTATGATTCTTCATCATTATCTAATTTGATTTTCTCTCTTTAGGTACTTGTATATTTCAAAAACACTAATGAATCATTATATTTTTAATGTAATTTACAATTGGAATACAAATTCCTCGTATATATCTCATCCATTAACCCCCCATACAACAAATGGCTCTTACCTTGCACTTGTATTAGCTCTTCCAAATATTCTTTTACATAGTTTATTTCATCTCAAGCAAAGTTTCTACTTACTGAATTTATATTTACAAGTTTTTTTTAATGTATGAGTGTATGTATAAGTAATTTTCATAAGATTATTTACTATTTTATATTAATTGTGATTTTATTTTATGTGTGGCTAAAATGGTTACTTTCATCACTAATAACAAGTTCAACAAGAAGAAAGTTACGTTCATAATCGGAGCAACAAGAAAAAAGTATTGTTCCTGTTGTTCCCATTATGAATATCACTTTCTTCTTGTTGGACTTGTTTTTGATGAAAGTATTCATTTTAGCTAAACATATAATAAGATCTTAATCAGTATAAAATAGTAAATAAACTAATGGCAACCACTTACACATACATCCATACATTAAAAAATCTTGTAAAAATAAAGTTAATAAGTAGAAATGTTGCTTGAGATGCAATAAACTATGTAAAAGAATATCTTGTAAATACTGATAGATCTATACTAACTCAAGATGGCAAGCCTATTGCTTTTTTCAGCAAGGAATTAGCGGCAGAGGCCTATCCAGGAATTTGATATGACGGGTATATTATTATGAAAAATATGAATTTAAGATATAAATTTGATCGACTTGATATTTTAGATTTTATTCACTAAAAATCGACTGAAATCATTTATTATATGTTATACCATCTAATATTACTAGTTTTAATAAGCACAAGTTTGATTTAATTATATAAAAAATTAGGGTGCTAAAAATTTTTGGAATTTCCAAAAGTGACAAACTTAAAAATTATGAAAGATTAAAGTTATATACATAAAGTGCTATCAATTTTCACTTAGAGAGATGTTACTTAATTTTAGAAAGGAAAAAAATACATAACAAGGTAGATGTAAGATTCAAATTTCTAATATCTATAATAGGTATATTTATAAGTATTGTGTTTAAAGTTTCACTTATATTGATTTATATTAGAAAATATATTTAAAGGATTAAATATTATTACTTTGATTATGTTATTAATTATTTGACATAACTAAATAACCAAATCGAAAAAAATAAATCGAATAGAAAAAAAACAAATCAAACCAAATTTATCTTGGATATGATTGAATTACACTTTTACAAAATCAAAAATCAAAAGTACAAATCGAATAGTGCAAAACCAAACCAAAAAATCAAAGGCACGCTCCAACAAAATTGTAATCAAAGTCAAATAACAAATACATCAATATAGAATTATTGAATAATTAATTATTTTCCTTACGTACATATATTTCAATCATATTTTAATATTAATTATTCAGAATCACAAATATCCTAAATCTTGACTTTGACTTGATACATTAATTAATTAATTAATATATAGAATTACTGCAACTTGTCTGGAGAATGCTATATTTCCTTGACGTCTTGAACAATTGTTGTAATTGCAAATCCTATAATAATAATAATAATAATAATAATAATAATAATAATATCTTATTTTTAAGTTACGTGAACTATATAAGTTATTAAATCTCAAAAAATATACAATATAAGTTATTATTTTTTACCTGTTTTATTAGTATGATGGACAGTCCCTGCCAGTTTATTGTCTGAAACATTCCTGTTCATTAAAAATGAATTAATGTATATATTAAAATTTGGCAAATAATATTGAAAAATTATTAGGGCGTGTTTGGTACCACAAAAAATGTTTTGCAGGGAACAAATATTCTTGAAAAATAAGTCTTTTTTTTTGTTTTTTTTGTATTGTTTATGTTTGACATGTAAGCAAAAAATATTACTCCTTAAAAGCACTATAAGCAAACACTAGAGAATAGGCATAGTGTGTCTTTTGGACATTATTCAACCACAAAATCTAGCTCAAAGCAGATTGCTAATTCTATATAAACAGATCATCTATTCATCTCCAATTAACGTGCAATGTGGATTGAGAATTTGAATTTTGAGATAAATTTGATTTTGATATCATGTAAGATACGACACATTAGTCTTATAATTCAACCCAAAAACCTCGCTCAAGAGGAGAAGATTATCCAAATTTACATAAACAAGTCTGAAGAACATTGTTTTCTTCATTTTTTAAGGAACTTAGTTTACTATAAAAAATTTCTTTTTTTCAAAAATCTCATTTTAAAAAATATTTTTCTCCGCACCATACACCCTCATATTAATGTATAGATTGTGCAACTTACATAAGCTTCAAATTGCCCCACAAGACGAGCTTCAAGACAGAAATAGGAATCTCCCCTGATAATTTATTACTATTCAATCTCCTACAAAAAATAAAATAAGAACTCAATATATATTGCACCAAACTATACTAGAAAAAAATTCACAAATAGTATTCCTTGTTATTGAAATATAATTATTGTATTAAAATTTCAAATTATACAAGTGCAACTTGAGAAATAATATCCTGACTATTTTTCTAACATTAGGCTGAAAAGATATTATTCCTACGAATTATATAGTCCTTTACTTAGCTAAGGGCCTTAATAAGGTTGGTTTATTTATAAGAAAAATGGTTAATTAATAAAGGGCGGTACAATGATAAATACTTTTTTATTTTAATTATAAGTTTTTAATTTATTTTTTAATATAAATTTAAATTTAATTAAACTCTAATATAAATATTTAAACATAATATTAAAGGAAATCGAAATGAGTGAAAAAAATAACTTACATATATCGTAGTAATTTTAAATAGCCAAGAGACGATGGAATAAAACCACTGAGCTTGTTATTTTCTAACCCCAAGCTTACTAACTTTGTGAGGTTCCCTAATTCACTTGGAATTTCTCCACTAATTGAATTATTTTGGATTTGCCTGCCCACAATTAATTAGACATAAAAATATTAATATTATATTTTTAGATATATGTGCATCTAAAAGAAAATAAGACTAATTCATTAAATTGATAATCTTACAAGTATTGGAGATTGCTTAGCATTCCTAATTGAGGTACCAAGGATCCAGAGAGATTAGCATCACCTAGGTCCCTTCAATAGTATATCACCATTAAAAATCAATAAATTAACAATTAAATTTTATTCGGAAAGACGAGTTCAAGATTTATTTTGATAACAATAAATTTAATTGATCAGTAAATTGATTTTTGTGATATATTTGTTTCTGATTATCTAAAGAGGTTTGTAAAAAGCAAAATAAAACGATAATTTTTTAAATTTGTCAGTAAATTTCATTTAGACGTTATTTAAATTATGATTTAATTTATTTGAGCTTCTGAAAACATAATAAGGTATTTATATTAATTATTAGATACTTTCGGTTCAAATTTAAAAAGAATTCAAACAATTATTACGTAAATAAATTAAAATCACCTAAAATTATACACATTGATCTTCATTGTAACAAGTCTGAGGTTTTATGACTTATAAAAATCAAAAAGATTAAATAAAATTATCTAAATAATAAATACGTTCTCATGTGCTCAAGTAGACAATTAAAATAAGTCATAAATCAAACATTTAAATAAAATTTACCAAATAAATTTAAGTTATTATTACAAAAAATAAATATAGTATAAATAAAATGAGATATACACTCTCACAACACTATTTTGGGAGTTGCAAGTGACATGGAACCATGTGCAAGGGTTGACTAAAGTTGGGTCCCAACTTTGAAGCACATTGTTTGGGTCTGCCACATTAGTTTTGAATGCATTAAGAGCATCTCCTGTTTTTCACAAACACAAAAACAATTTTATTTATTTTTATTTTACGTGTCTTAATTTAAATAAGTATAACTTTAAAAATATAAAATAATTATTGAACCATATAATCTTAAATTAACCGTGTATTATATTGTATACTAAGGGCATGTTTAATATGATGGAATATATTTATCATAAATTCTTTTAAAAAGTAATCGTCTAGCTTATTTTTACTTTCTAGTGTTATAAGTAAGAAAAAACGTATTATTTTGAAAATATTTATATATAAAATAGGAAAATAATACGAAGATAGAGTGTCTCGAAGAGTGAAGGATCAAGGTAGGGTTTATGACATATATCGAGGGTAAGGAGAAGATAATGAATTTCAGACATCACTTGTAAAATTTAGTCTTCCTATTCCATTAAGAAAGTCACTTTCTAATATATTTTTACCAACTTGAAAATTATTAAATGATATTGTTTTTCCAAAATAGACCAAAACAGATATTATAAAAATAAATTAGAATCCAAAGACACCCTAAATCTGAAATTTTTTGATCTTAGATATATCATGATTAAATGAAAATATTAGAATGAAAATCTTACTAAATATCGAAAAACATCATTCGTCTAAAATATGCTAAAAAGAAAATAAATCACATAAATGAAAACGAAAAAAATAAAAATAAACATAAACATGGGATAATTGAAGGAGGATTTCTTTTGATTTGATACTTAACCTTCAGAGTTGCAATCAACAGCTATAATGGCCAAAGCACCAACCAAGAACACAAGGGCAATGAACCTCATTTTCTTTTATTATTACTAGATTGATATAATCTAGATTATAGGGGCAATACTTTGTTTATTTATACCAAAAAAAAAAAAACTATGTGCATTTTATTTTTTTTCCACATAGAAGTCATCTAAACAGACAATGACTTATGAAATATTAAAAGTTAATATTTGAATAAATTTAGATATTTGACCAGACTTAGCAAAGAGACAATGTTGGTGGCCTAGTCAAAATTTCTAGTTAATAAATTTTGAATATTCTTATTTGAATTACAAATGACATATATATAATATTTTAATTAAATTTATTTGATGTAATTAAATTTATTGTTGTCATTGTGGCTCAACCATTGGTAATGATTTTTCTTGATGAATATTCCAAGGGATGTTTTATTTTTTCTTTGGTTAGAAATGGACAAAGGATAGAGTCAAGCTGAGTATATTTACAGGTGAACTATAATATTGTTCTCAACAACTTTGCTATTTTTTTAATTTACAAGTTACAGATGAAATTATGATAATTCAAAAGTAATTGTGAAATCAAAATTTCAAAGAGAGATTAAAAAAATATAAGAACGTCACACTTAATTTGAACTTACTTCTATTATGTCAAGGTTATTTCAGAATTTACATATTATACAATTTCTTTTATTTATTTGCACAATATACTTTTTGAATGACCTTTCTTTCGGAATGAGTCTAGTTTGAGTCAATCAAAATACGAACTTTTTTGAATAATTAGTTTAAATTTTAGATTATGTATTGGACTTTAGATTTTATTTTTAAAATATATGAATTTAGATGTAGGAATTTTCAGATATTAAAAAAATTGAATCTTTTTACAATTTAGGCAGAAGTCATCGGTGGCCCCCTATACTTGGCACAATCTTTCACTTAGACACCTCAACTGGAGGGTTTTCATTTTAAAAACCTAACGTAGGGTTAAACATTTTTTCACAAACATCTGTAGACCATAGGTGCGTGCAACACAACCCGTTCTACGTGGATTAAGTTATCAATTATATTATGCCAACTGTTAAACCTATTTACACGTAATTTTTGTTCAAATTATTAGACAAATTAAATCAGATAAAAAAAAAGGAAAAATCGATTCATCTCTCCACTTTGTTATTTCAACTTCCTTCGTACGTTTCTCCTTCTTCTCCGACGAAAACCCTAGGTAAATGTCTCTTCCTTCACATGTATTGCATTGTTTTCCTTCAATTCATTGTTAGTAATAACCATTGTTGTATTTTGTGTTATCATTTGCAGGTTTAAGGTTGTATTGACAAGGTATACGTCTGTGTGACGTGAAGTTGACGAGGTACTGGGCTGTCACCATTTTGTTTTCTACCTTTGTTTTATCGTTGTAAAAGGTGTATTTTGTTGTTGATTTTGCTTTATTTTCATTTTTAATCTAAGTTTTGGTCTTAGTAGTGCTGATAAAGTAAGGGGCTTTTTGGGTATTTCCTTTTGTTGGGTGTGGGTGTCGTTGTTGGGATATAGACATCTATATTTTAACATGCTTTCATCATGCGGGGTGTCTTGTTTCAAACCCTAAAACTACTTACCAATGAGAAGTAGATGTATATGGTGTCGCCGTAGATAAAAATCATTTTAGTCTTGTCGAGTTTATTTCGTACACTAAAGAACTTGGGTACATAAATGTTAAGGCATTTTGATGTGAAGATGGTGATGAATTAGTTCAAGTTACTTCTGATACTCAACTGTTAGAATTTGTGAAAGACTTGGTAGATGGTGATGATTTTCATGTGTATATGGTCCATAAAGTTGATGAATTAAAAGAAGAATTACCTGCTCCATCTTCTCTTTTACCATGGTCTGACACTGTTGATGAATTTGTGGGTATTAACGCTGAGGGGACTGTGGACAATGATTCAAATTTGAATGGAGGTGATACAAATCATAATAAAGCTGAATCAGATCTGCTTAGTAGTGACTCAGATGTAGATGATATTCCAAATGTAGATGATTCAGATGTTGATGAAGAACTGAGATCCCTTAGGGCTAAAAGGAGAAACAAAAGAAATAAAAAAAGATAGGAAAAAAATAGTAATTGAAGAAGTACCAATAGGTGAGACAGGTGTAGACAGAGACTTTGAAGATATTGGAGTAAATAAGAAGGATAGATATGTTGGCAGATTGGAAGGAGATGAGAAGTACATTGATAGATCACAATGTGATAGTGATGACAACACTGATATCCTAGATGCAGAAGTTGTTGGAGGTGTTGATCTACCAGGCAAAAGAAAGAGCAAAAAGGTCAGCTATGATGATGAATGTATTGTTGCTATTTTTGAACTTGGAATGATTTTTGAGAATGCTAAGGAATTTAGAAATGCTCTAGCTAAATACGTTGTTGAAAAAAATTTTCAGATTAAGTTAAGGCCGAATGAAGCTCATAGAGTGAGAGCTAAATGTAAATTCCAAGAAAAATGCGAATGGTTGTGCTATGATGCTATTGATAGGAATTCTAGTAACTTTATGATTAAGAATTACCATTCTATACACAAATGTTTACCATCTAATAAGAACAAAATGTGTACAACTAAGTTCCTAGCAAGTAGATTCAAAGAAGAAATAACTAAACAACCATCTTTAAGGACTTGGAAAATACAAGAATTGTGCAGGGAGGAGTTAGGACTGCATGTCGGTAGAACAATTTGTTACAAGACAAAGATGATGATTCTTAGAGAAAACATGAAAAACATGGGTGATTGGAATATGAAATTGGCAAGGGTATTGTGATTATGTTGAAGTTACAAAACAAATCAATCCTGATAGTTCTGTTTGGGTAAGAATGGATAGAGAAACTGTACCAGGAAAGAATTTATTTGTGTACTTTTATGTATGCTTGGATGCATTGAAGAAGGGGTGGAAAAAAGGATGTAGAAGAATAATAGGATTTTATGGATGTTTCTTAAAGGGTACTTGTAAGGGTGAACTTCTTGTAATAGTTGGCAGGAATGGAAACAATCAGATGTTTTCTATAGCTTGGGCAGTTGTGGACAAAGAGACTAAACAGAGCTTGAGCTTCTTTATCAACTACTTGAAAGATGAATTGCAGTTGGGTACTGGAGAGGGTCCAACTGTAGTGTCAGATATGCAGAATGTGATTAATTGTCCATTACATTGATAATTGTAGATTTGTAAAATATGTTTTCTTTTTTGAATTTTATTGAATTGTGTTTTATTGTAGGGTCTTCAAGGAGCTGTTGCTGAACTGCTACCAAATGCTGAAGTTAAAATGTGTGCTAGACACATCTGGTCTAACTGGAATAAAATCTGGAAGGGAGAGGAAAGGAGAAGACAGTTTTGGAGATGTTCGAAGACAACTTTTGAAGTGAAGTACAATGAGGAGCTTTACAAAATGAGCAACTTGGTAATGAAAACATCTATTACATTATCTAAGAGTGTCATGAGTTAGAGAATTCTTTCAAAAGCATTCCAAATGCGATGCAGTTGAAAATAACATGTCTATGTCTGAAACCTTTAACTCATGGATATTATCTTGTAGACAAAAATCTATAATAACCATGTTGGAGGAAATTATGAAAAAATTAATGACTAAAACTGTAAATATGGTTAAGTTTGCTGACACCTGGATATATGATATTGCACCCATGGCTAGACTTATGTTAGAGGAGAATAAAGAAAAGTCTAGGACATGCAAGGTGCTTTGGAATACTGATTTTGGGTTTGAGATTGGAGAAGAGCACTATTCGCATACTGTCAACTTGACTAATAGAGTTAGAACTTGGCAGTTGAGAGGCATTCCATGTCAACATGCTATTTCTGCATTGTACCAAATAGGACAAGAACCAGAACCACTTGTGGAGCATTGGTATAGGAAGGATATCTTCTTAAAGGCTTATAGTCATTTCATTCAATCAATTTCAAGTATGAAGATGTTGCCTGAAACTAACAATTCAAGGATTGAGCCTCCTGAGCCTAAACAAATGCCTGGTAGACCTCCAAGATATAGAAGAAAGAGTAAAGATAAATCAAGAAAGAAATATGAAAAGATGTCCAAATAAGGGGTGAAAATTAATTATTTCCAGTGTAAACAACTAGGCCACAACAAGAAATATTGCAAGGTAAAATAATTTATTATTTGTTTGTGTCTTTTTTAAAGTCTTGTTGAATATGATGAACATACTTTATGTTTTATATTTAGGTTGGTGTCATACTTCACAACCAACTAAACATAATTCACAATTTACTGCTGGTCAAAGTTCACAAGGAAGTGGTCGCCCTGAACAAACAAGCTCCTACCAATCTGGACCAACAACATCAAACAATCGTGCTTCTTCAACAACAGTTTGTGGTGATACCTGTAGAGTTAAAGGGCTAGAGAAACTGCAAAAACGAGCCAACCACCATCAGTTGGGGATACAAGTATTCATGTTACAAGAGGAATGATCAGTCAATTAACCCCAAGGACAAGACAAACTGCTAGACAAAAAAGAGGAAATGTTGAAAGTGGAGAAGATTCTGTAAGAGGGAAAACAAAGAGGCAAACTAAAGATGAAGCAAGTAATGTTGAATTTGGCATCCCAAATACTAAACGTGAGTTTATCACTAACTGTCTCTTAAATGAATGAAAGTTAATATATTAATTTTGATTTGTTCTTCAAAAAATAGCATGGGACTTCAAGTCAAAGAATTCTACTAACAGGTTCAAGTTATAAGGATGCAGTTTAACGGGTATAGATAGTGGCTTTAAGCCTAGAGGCTTAAGATGGAAAATTAAGGATCCTGTCACCACTTCCCAATTTCAGCAAATGACAAACAAAAATAAGAAGTAACACCAACTTAGAATAGGTTGATTCTGGGCCCTTATTATGTTGTCGTATGTTTTTTGGAGTATGCTAGCTTTATTTTGATACTAGTAAACACTTTTGTGACGGTTGTATGTAACTTTTGTTTATGGTATCTTTATTCTGAGACCTTATTTTGGTACACTTTCTCTAAGGTTGTAGCCTTGAATATTATGTAGCATAATGCTAGCCTTTGAGCTCATTATGGAGCATTCAATATAACTGTCTACATATTGTGTAATTTGGATGTTACATTGTGAGGATATGATCAATTGTTTATAGCTTGGACATTTTCTTTTGATACTACTTTATATGTAGCCAAAAGTAAATTTTACAATAATAACAACACCAAAATACTACTAGAACTTAGAGTTTCATTGAATTCAAAAGCACAATTACATCAAAAATTTACAACAACAACAACATCTAAATACTACTACATTGAACACCGTTTGATGCATCAAAATAGTACTAGACCGAACACCTCAAGAACACTAACAATTAGGCTTCAATTTCCATATTTCAAACATAAGCAACTCAGTAGAAACGACACCGACAATAAATATATTTCTTGCTCGCTTTAACTTTTCATCAAAATCATTGACTTTCTTTAACAATTCCCACATTACATTGTTTGTTTGTGGAGGGTGTCGATCTTCATAACAAAGAAAATAGTCACAACTACCCATTTTCTATAAAATCAATCAAAAAGAATTAGATGCAAACGAATTAACCGTCAATTAACCTAAAAAGTAAGGGAACAAGAATTTTACCTTTGAAATTCTACAAGTAAAAAATCTACGCCCTGGATTTAATTGGATCCATAAAGTCTTTAATAATGCATTATCACCACACCTACAATATCGACCTTTATTCACAGATGCCATGGAAGAATTGGAGAAGCTTGACATGAAAGGCTTAAGAAAAGAGAAATTGAAAAAGAAGGAAGAAATTGGAAAAGAAGAGAGAAATTGGGGTTTAAATTAGGGTATAATTGAAATAAAATCAATATAAATAGATGATGTGGAGTAATATTACCGCTGGGACTCCACATCAGACAAAATTTTCATGTTTATGCGCCTTGCATCAGTGAAATTCACGCGGCACTCCAACTGTGCAAAAAGTGTTTTAAGTGACATATAGGTACCCTACATTAGGTGTTTAAATGATAATCCTCCAGTTAATGTGTCTAAGTAAAAGTTGTGCCAAGTTTAGGGGATCACCGATGGATTACCCCTAGAATTTATATTTTCCAATATCAATGAGTCCAACTTACAAAAAAAATTAATAGATAAGTAACGTACAGTCCCATTGATTATAGTATCAAGTCCAATATATAATTATGTAAACGATATAAATGATAGAACGTAAAAGTTTATACACCGTAAAGATCAAACTATTAGGTGAACTGAATTGTAAATTGTTGTGAAATATCTTAAAGACTTAAAAATCAAATTTGAAATATTCAAATCTACTAGTCAATTAAACTAGAAAAATCAATTTAACCCAAAGTTATTTGAATTAAAACTTTAAACTGTAATTTCTTCAATTCAAAAATCAAAATTTCAAATATTTTTTTCATATTTTATCAGAATGACCCAAACATCCACCCAACCTTTATTGCAAGAAAGAAAAGGATTCTAAGACTAGGAAACTTTCAAATATGGTGGCTCATTGTTGAGATTTCTACAATGAAAATGAGAAGATGTAAGCCAATTTAAAAGTTATTATTCCCTCTATCCAATAATATTTATTTATTGTTGATTTTGCATAGTTTTTAAGAAAATATAAATAAAATTAAAATTTTACTATATCACCTTTTGAATATAATAAATACAATATTTTAAACATGTAATAAAAAAATAATTAAAATTAATGATCGAGATAAATTAGAAACTAAACGTAAAGAAATATTAATTTTATAAAGTAGACAACTATTATTAAACGTCTCAAAATAATATAATAGACAACTATAATTATAGAGAAAAAGTAGTTTTTAAAAACTTCTAGAAGTTCTTTTAAAAAATTCATTTTAGACTAGGCCTAAATTATAATGCACATGACGTGTTTTACTAGAATTGATCAAATTACTTAAGATCAATATTTTAGATTGTTATGTTAAGATATAATGTACATGTATTTTTCTAGACTATCATTAGAATTTAGAGATGTATCTTAATAAAATTAAGGTTCTATTATTTTTCTAAAGGGAAAATATCCAAGTACCCCCTCAACCTATGCCCGAAATCCCAGAGACACACTTGTACTATACGAAGGTCCTATTACACCCCTGAACTTATTTTATATGTAATTTTCTACCCCTTTTTAGCCTACGTGGCACTAGTTTGAAAAAAAAGTCAACCATCGTTGGGCCCACAAGATAGTGCCACGTAAGCTAAAAAGGGGTAAAAAATTATTAATAAAATAAGTTCGGGGGGGTAATAGGACCTTAGTATAGTATAAGTGTGTCTCTGAGATTTTGGGCATAGGTTGAGGGGGTACTTGGGCATTATCCCTTTTCTAAATTTTTTTTTAGAAATTTTATACATATTTTATCTTATGTGACACATTTCGTAAATTCACGCACTTGAGACGCGTGAAAGATATTTGAATTTCATGTAAACTTAAAAAGTGTACAAATATTTTTTATAAATAATAGAACATTAATTTAATTAAAATATGTCTCTAAAATATCCTTCATAGTCTAGGAATATTTCTACCTTTTTCCTTTTAACTTTGACTTCATTATACCAAATAAATTTATTCTTTTACATAAAAATATCACTTAAATTCATTTAAACATCATTATCATTAGATCGTTTTTATGTTGAGTTAATACCTCAGGTGGTCATTCAACTATGCACCCTTCTGTCAGAAAGTCATTCAACTTTCAATTTTCACTTAAAAGTCACTCAATTATGCACTTCTTTCTCAGAAAGTCACTCAACTACTCATTTTTTCCTCAAAAAGTCACTCAATCTATTAAATTATTTTTTAAATTAAAATTTATTGATATTAATTATTTATCTAACAAACCAAAAAATTTTAAAAATAAAAATAACCATTTAGTGATCCACCCACCTAACCCGACCCATTAAAAAAATGATATGACCTATTTTATTTTGTC